CAGCATGTGCATCACTGACTAGAGTTCAGTGTTCATTTAGAGGTCTTTTTCTTTTGAGGTAAAATTTATATAGAAAGATACGCACAGGGGGCCGGCCCGGTAGCGCAAGTGGTTAGGTGCGTGGGCTCTGCTGCGGCGGCCCGGGGTTTGCTGGTTCAAATCGCGGGCGCGCATCGACACACTGCTTGGCAAGCCATGCTGTGGCAGCGTCCCATATAAAGTGGAGGAAGATGGGCACGGATGTTAGCCCAAGGCCAGTCTTCCTCAGCAAAAAAAGAGGAGGATTGGCAGATGTTAGCCCAGGGCTGATCTTCCTCACAAAAAAAAAAAAAGAAAGATATGCACAGATGTTAAGTGTACCATTTAATGACCTCTGTCTTCTGTTTGCTTCTAAGTCAATTGTGTTCTAGTAAGAAAACTAATACTCATTATAAGGCCACACTTCCAAAACTTGTGTATTTATTTGAATTTTCAAAAATAGACTTTAAATACCACAAAGTACCTTAAAAATTTCTTCTTTTTTATTTTTTATTTATTTTTAATTAAAAAAAATTATTTATTTACTTATTTTGCTGTGGAAGATTAGCCCTGAGCTAACATCTGTTGCCAATCTTCCTCTTTTTGCTTGAGGAAGATTTGCCCTGAGCCAACATCTGTGCCAGTCTTCCTCTGTTTTGTATGTGGGTCGCTGTCACAACATGGGCACTGATGAGAGGTGTAGGTCTGCACCCAGGAACTGAACCCGAGCAGCTGAAGCAGAGCGTGCCAGACTTAACCACTAGGGCATGGGGCTGGCCCCATCTTCTTTTTATTTTTCTTTTTATTATGTGATGTGCTATACAATATAATGATTATAGTTATAGACACTTTTATTTTTTCCGGATTGTTCCGTTCTCAGCAAAAATTCTTAGCATAGCTAATGATATCACATAATGCATGCTGGAGGAAATAACTTGAGGATATTTTTGTTTAGTTAAAAGTATGAAATTGTAAAGAAAAGCAAGGAATGCTCTTTTGTGAACTTTGTAAGCGAAATATGTAAAAGAAGTAGTTAATTGAAGACACTTTAAACATTTATGGAGTGCTCTTTAGTTTATTAAGTGCTTGCATTTATCTTAACTCGTTTGAGCCTTACATTAACCGTGGTTTACTTCTTAGGGCATACTGAGAATGCAGTTGTTGCAGTTCTTAGATGAAGAAACCAAGGCTTAGGCAGTGGGAAGGGCAACACAGCAATTGGTAGTGCAATCGACTGAACTCACATCCTTTCACTTTAAATTTCAGCCATGTCAACAACTGCAGTCAACTAAGTCTTTAGTTGCAGATATTGAGATTTGCTTGTGAATGACTACCAAAGGTTTTATTGTGCAGACTAGTGAACTGTAATGACAACTCGTATGCAAAGACTTACTATGCCAATATTTTGAGTTCTCTCTAATGAAATACTTCGATATAAGGGAACTGCAATTATCAGGATCCAGACAGAACTATCTGTGTGTGCTGTATTTAGAATGTGACACACTGATATTACATACACATTCTCTTCTCACAAAAGTGAGCAATATCATGATTGAAGTGCCACTTGATGTGGCAAAATGCCTGTTTTTCAGAAATGTATTATATGAGAAGCTCATTGGAGAAGGAAAGACTTATTGATGTATCTATTTTGGAAGGTTTATATTCCACAACATCCTGAAGGTACTTCCTTTGTTTCCCTTAGGTAGACAAATACTAAATGGCAAAACCATCTGGAGAAAATCAGCTTGACATTGTCTGGATAGAGGATTTGACAAAAATGCAGGCAGTTTTGTTCTTGTCACTGGGTGTAAAGGTTTAGCTCTTCATTTGCTTGATACCACTAAGGAAAAGCTGGAAAAGATTAACATGGCTTCTGAAGAAAAGTGTTCTTGAGGAAACCTCCTTTGGATAGAAACTTACTGAAAGTCCTTTAGGATCAGAAACTAGAAGTACTTTATTTGAGGTCACCTTTGAGTCTACATCCTTATTTTTGTCACTGAGTCTACCTCCTTATTTTTGTCACTTGGTTGAAAAGCAGTTTTCCATTGGCTATGCTAGGAATTTTATTTCTTTTAAGGTTTCCCCGATCATTGATATAGAATTGTTCTAGAGTTGCTAGAAGATAGTTGCACAGGAGCTGAAAACTTAATTTTTCTGATACCAGTAAGGATGTCTGCCTACAGATGCAAATAATATAGTTCTTTCAAAAGCACTAGATTTTTTTTGAAATACGTAATGGTTGATCTGCCTCAAGTGCAACTGAAAAAGATGACAGGACCTGGCCAATCAGTCATGTAAACACCTGGGTATCCTTTGGATAGGACAAGAAAGATGAGGAAGACAGACAGGGAGTTGTTCCCATTTCCTGCTTGTCCTGTGCCTCTGTCTCTTTTGCCGTCATCTTTCTCTCAGGCCTGTCTAGCCTAGAGCTTGCTGAAACAGTTTTCTTTTGAGGCATTTTTAAGAAAAGATAATTCTTAATGTAAATCTGTGTGCTGGGAATATCCTGGCAAGAGTAAGGTCTAAGGCAATGTTAGTTGAGAAAGAAGAAAAATGGATTATGGGGAAAGAGGAGAAAGAAATACATTCAAAAGTGGGCCACCATGGGCCGGCCCCGTGGTGTAGTTGTTAAGTGCGTGCGCTCCGCTGCCGGTGGTCTGGGTTCAGATCCTGGGCGCGCACCGACGTACCGCTTGTCAGGCCATGCTGTGGCTGCGTCCCACATAAAGTGGAGGAAGATGGGCACGGATGTTAGCTCAGGGCCAGTCCTCCTCAGCAAAAAGAGGAGGATTGGCTTGGATGTTAGCTCAGGGCTGATCCTTCTCACCAAAAAAAAAAAAAAAAAGAGTGCCACCAGCCTTGGCTTCAGATAGTGTGTCTCAACTGTATAGCATATTCTGCCTAATTTGGCTGTGATCCACTTTGGGGCCAGTTTATTCTTGGAACCTTGGAGCTGAATGTTTTTCTTTTTTTTAAATGCATCTCTCTTTCCCCAATGCTATTGAAATTTTAGAGAATCAAGAAGAAGAAGAAAATACATCTCTAATCCTAGCCTTCTAATGAAACCATTAAACTTTTGATATACCTCCAGCCAAATCCTTTTTTTTCTTCTGTAATTATTTTTATGTGTCTGGAATTAGAAAATGCCTACATTTTTGTCTCCTGCTTCTGTGAAATGTCCTTCAGTGTGTCCTTGGAAAGCCGGCTGAAGGACAAGTATTGGATGATACCACAGTACATCAGCTAAATTGTCATTCCAGTCTGAAAAGAAACTTTGTATTGCATGTTGCTTTTTTTCTTGGGAGGTGACTGATATTTGTACACCATTACTATTAAGTAACTGAATGCTCTTTAAAATGCTGCCCAGGATGAAGATGGTGGGAGACTTCTGAAAAAACTCTTCTGTGCTTTTCAGAAATTGTCCTGATTTGTGGCTGGGATTTCTCAGCTGCTGCTTTTGGACAAATACTCTTTTTCTTTTGTTTCCGTTTAAATGAGTCCCTTTCTTATCATATCCAGATATATTTTCTATGGCAGAATAATAAACTATCATCAGTCTTCATTCTGATAGATAGACATAACAAGCTAACTATGTGGGAATAAGAAATGGTGTCAGATAAGACGGAAATGGCCTGCATTTTCATTGGAAAAAGCTTTTTTGGAGGAGTGAATTGTTGAAGTAGTTCTGTTTTATTTTGCCTGAATCAAGTAAATTCCAATACATTAGTCACTTGTAGTTTTAATATAGTTCATTCTGTTAGGACAGACTTACTGAGAATTCCTTTGTGATTCACAGTGTAATGAAATTTTGCTAGTTTATTTTGTTAAAGCTAGGAAAAAATTTTTTTAAGTTCATGGGTATTTTGCTAAATGCGCTGTACTTCTCAGGAATGGGTATAGGAGCGAGGGAGGTCATGCAAATTGGGATCCCTTCTCATGAGAATCTTTAATTTCAAATACCACGTTAGAAAGGTTAGATGGTCTTTATCATCCTTGTTATTTGATCCTGGTAGATGAATTTTTCTTCTCTCTGTTGTAAAAATATGTCTTTTTCATAATAATAACAATAATAATAGATCCATAGATATATTCTTAATCATTGGCCTATGCCAGTTTTGTTCATCACTGTATCTTTGGCACCTCCCATAATACCTGGCAATAGCAGGCACTCAGATATTTGTTGCATGGACAGTGTTGGTTCTTGTTAATTGCAGAATAATAAACTTTGATTTGTTCTTTTATGTGGTAATGGTTTAATTGGAATTGTTTGTTAAATTACAATAAAAAATCCAAGTTACCTTTGTAGCTTTAAAATTTATTTATTTATTTAGTGTGTGTGTGTGTGAGAGAGGAAGATCAGCCCTGAGCTAACATCCATGCCAATCCTCCTCTTTTTGCTGAGGAAGACTGGCCCTGAGCTAACATCTGTGCCCATCTTCCTCCACTTTATATGGGATGCTGCCACAGCATGGCCTGACAAGCGATGTGTCGATGCGTGCCCGGGATCTGAACCTGGGCTGCCAGTAGTGGAGCACGCGCACTTAACCTCCATGTCACAGGGCCGGCCCCTGTACCTTTAAAGATCTATATTAAAATTTCTTGAATATATTCTCTCAAAGCTTTAAGCTGAATGACTTTTCTGAAATGTTTTTTGCTTGGAATGGTAATAAATTTTAGAAATAGCTGTCGTAATTTTAAACTGTTAAGTAGAATTACTGCTGACTGCAGTTTTCTGAGGCTAATATTATAAGACATTCTCATAGGTTGCTGTGGGTAGCATGGTACAAAGAGTTAGGAGGTTTAGTAATTAGTATAAATTTAAATTTTCTAAAATTTATTGGGATAATTTGATAGTGGGAAAAAGCTTGTGGTGACTCATTAATTTATAATTAAATACATAAATATAATTTCTCTTTGTTGAATGAGCATTAAAACTGCACAAATAGAAACATCCTAAATTATTCTGTTTCTATTCATTTCAGGGCTGAAAACAGTGAAATCACTTTTAATAGTTAAAAGACTATTAAGAAGACAAGATGGGGACTCCTGGTTCTGGAAGGAAAAGGACACCCGTGAAAGACCGATTTTCTGCAGAAGATGAAGCTTTGAGTAACATTGCCAGAGAGGTGTGTCTGCAAAACCTGTTCTTCACACTGATTTGCACAGATGAGAATGTTGTAAAAATGCAGAGGAAGATATATACAAGCAATCGTTCATTGAACTAGTTTCAGAATGCTTACTATGAATAAGGTGTTATTATATGGCCTTTAAAATACTGTGTTAGGGTAAAATATGGTTTTATCTCTTTACTCTTTGGAGTATCTGGATATCTGTTCAACTTATCTAAAATTAATCTTTCATTTTATTTTTGTGGATTACTTGAGTTCCAGGTACTTGTCCTAATGTCTTGAAGTTTATAATTAATCTTTAGCATTGAAACTTAAAGTAATTAGAATATTGAAGATATGAACACTATATTATAGAAATGCTCATTGAGCATACAGTTAATATCTTCCAGGAGACACTGTAAAAATGTTGACAGAAATAATCCTTATTTGACATCTGGTCAAATTCAGTGTCTAAACTGTTTTTTGAAATATTGCAGTGGAATTTTTAATTTTTAAAAAAGCTAGTAACAGAGCTTCTGGAGCAGTTTTGTTTCGGTTTGTTGACAACTCAGAAAAAAGAAAAAAAAAAAGGAAAGGAGTGTCACCTATTGAATCACTGGCAACATTTCCTGTTGGGTATTGGAAATTTAAGATAACTCCCAGCTGTGATTTCTTCCTGAGGTGCCAACTTTGTTTCAGACTCTGACTCTATCTGCAGCTGCAGACCTGACCATAAACTAATCTGGTGCAAGAATTGCTTACAGCGTTATTAAATTATATTCTTTTGGTGAGAATTATTCCCTCATCACTTCCTCTTTGTTATTATTAGTAAATAACTCATTTAGGACTAGTGCTGTTTCCTTTTGACATATTACATAGTCTTTTTTGATCCAGCTCATTGTTGACGTTTTTCCTCTTGTAAGCTACTCAGTTAGCTTTTGAATTAGGAGTCACATTCTGTAGGAGGATATTTGAAGCAGGGAAAGGTTATCCAAATGCGGATAACAAAATTGTGATATTACTTTAACAAAATTACTTTTAAAAAAATCAGTGAGATATTTTTAGATAAAAAGGTAAAAGATATTTAAAAATGAAATAGTAGACATTACAGCAATGTTAAGTATTTGCACAAATGAAGCATTTTAGAAGCTATATAGTTTTAGTTGAAAATTGAAACTACTCAAAATGTTTACTTCCAAAATTGGAGAGATTTACCCAGATTTCTAGAAGGGGAGAAAATACTAGCCCCTCTAGGCTCTTTTTGTACTGTCATTAAGTATTTGAACTTTTTTTTTGGATGTGATGCTTCATTTACAAAATTGGGGGTAGCGTTCTAATATCTAACACTTGAGTGCTTACTATGTGACAAATAACTATTTTAAGTATTTAAAATGCATTAATTAATTTAATCCGCAAAATTCTGAGAGTGGTTTTATTGTCTCCATTTTACAGATGAAGAAACCATTGCACAGAAAAGTTAAGTAACTTCCCTAAGGTCACATAGCTAGGAAATAGCAGAGCTTAGATTCAGATACATGAAGTCTGGCTCCAAAGTCTGATCATTTAACCACTCACTATGCTATACTGTTCCTCAATCTTTTTCAACTTTCCCACTTATAGCTTGTTTTTCTATAACTTTTCATAATTTTGAAAGCACTTTCACATCTTGATTTCTCCCAATAACCTTATGAGTTAGGTAGGATAGGTATTATTATTAGCCTTATTTACAGATGAGGAAACAGATGAAGCTGAGAGATAATTGTCTAAAAGGTATCAGAATTGGGGCTCAAATTCAGCTATTTAAAGCCATTGTTCATTTTACTGTACCATACTGCTTCTGGAAGAGGTGGGCTTTGGAGACGTCTAAGTGTGGCTTTGAATTCTGGCTTTTCTAGTTGCTGGTTTAGTAATTTTGTTAAGTAACTACTCTGGCCTTCAGTTTCCTCATCTGTAAAAGGAGAATAATACTCTCTTCCTGTTTCACAGGGCTATTATGACGATTAAAGGAAATAATGCATGTAAACCTCAGCATAGTGTTAGGCTTGCAGTAGGCTATTTTGTTGCTTATTAATAAGTCGAAATAGAAAGTGAGAAAGAGGTAAAATAATCTCCTTTTGTAAGAAGAAATTCATTAAGATAGGTGTTATAAAACGTGGTTGATCATAAGATTCTCTCACGGAACTTTATCAGGGTGCAGATTCCCAGGTCTTACCCCATACTTGCTAAATCTGAATCTATGGGAGTTCAGCTCAGAAATCTGTATTTAAATGCACACACACACTCTCTCTTTCTTTCCTAGGGGATTTTGATGGCTAGTCAGGCTTGGGAACCTAAATCAAAATACACAGAAGATCCTATCCTGGATGGTCATTTTTTTCTTGTTATTGGGATATAATTGACATATAACGTTATATTAGTTTCAGGTGTACAACATAATGATTCGATATTTGTATACTGCAAAATGATCACCACAATGTCTAGTTAACATCCATCACCACACATAGTTACAAAATTTTTTTTTCTTGTGATAAGAACTTTTAAGATGTACTCTCTTAACGACTTTCAAATATACTGTACAGTATTGTTAACCTTAGTCAATGTGCCGTACATTACATTCCCCGGATTTATTTATTTTATAACAGGAAATTTGTACCTTTGACCACCTTCACCCATTTTGCCCACCCTCCACTTCCTGCCTCTGGCAACCACCAACCTGTTCTCTGTATCTTATGAGTTCGTTTTTTTTTTTTTTAGATTCCACATTTTTTATACTTACAGATTGTTTTCCTCCCTTTACGTTGTTACTTTGCTCTGAAATAACTGAGTTTAATCCAGTTATTGTATTAGATGTTATAGTAATAAAAGTTGTTAGTATAAAAGGATATAAAAGTCAATATTTCTAGTTTTTATTTCTATCTTCAGAGCTCTAAGTATGAATATGCCAGATTTAATAACCTGGTCAAAAGGCTCAGCTTTAACGTGAAACATGAAAGAGCCAGTTTTTACTGTTAAGATTCAAGACTTTATTTGCATGATAAGTGCCTAATGTGGGATACAGTAGTTTTAAAACTTTAGAGGAAATATGTTTAGCAATTTGAATAATTCTTTCATATGTTCCTTGTGATTCTTTCTCTTTCCTTTAAAGTTTCCATAGCCAATTCTTAATTGTCTTTTCATACATTGGATGGTTGGCATTCACAGATAGTTCCTAATCCTTATTTTCTCCAGTGGGATCATCCCTTTCACAAAAAGACATTGCCTTTATAGTTAGGAACAGACAAAAGCTAACAGAACCCCTGTAACAATTAAGAAGGACAAAAAGCTTAATCTTTATATTTTTTATTTTTAGGTTAAATCTTAAGAGTTTAATTTATCTTGCCTCACTTCAAATTGTTTTTTGAAGTAGACAGAGAATGCCATAAATAAAGAAGAACAAACATTGCTTACTGCAATGTTTGTTACTATCTGCTCATTTTTCCTTGTTTGTCACTTGGCTCCAAATCAAGCAACTAGAGGGAATAGGAAGGAATAGAAACAAAAGGCATGAATATATTCCGCAAACTGGATAATTTGCATGCTAAAATATACAACTGAGTGCATTTAAAAAATTGTGGTAAAATATACATAACATAAAATTTACCATCTTAACCATTTTTGAGTGTACAGTTCTGTGGCCTTAAGTACCTTTACATTGTTGTGCAACCATCAGCATCATCCATCTCCAGAACTCTTCTCATCTTGTAAAACCCGAGTACGTTAAAAAAAGATGTTGAAAGGTTTGAAGACTGCTCCATGAGGAAGGAATGTGGATGGGTTTAGAAGTCCTATAATGTCTATTATAGACATGTTGCTGCTTTGCTGAGGGAGCTTGGGCTGTCACAGCCCTGAGAAGAGCTCAGAGGAGCAGGTGTTGGAAGGGTTCACCATCACGTCCTCTAGGGCGTCAGAAAACTAATCTGAATGCTTACGTTTCTTGCTTGTTTGGCTTTGATACTTCCACAGGTTTGGGGGAAATGCAATTGGAGAGTTGACTTTCAGTAAAAATTACCTGAAAGCACAAAGTGTATCAAATTTGGGACCCTTAGGCAGCTGGCCTCTCATAAGGACAAAGATGAGGGTAGAATGAAAGCCAGTTATGGTGCCTTACCACAGTCAATTTGGTGAGTGTTATGGCGAGTGTTCCTATGAGAAGAAATTGAAGCCTCTTGAAGAGTTTGCAAAGTCTTTTAAGGCATTACTAAAGCCTGGAATATTACTGCTTTCCTTGTTTTAGAGCTGAAATTATGAAGAAAACATGTTTTATGCCCGTCTCTTCAAACGGAGGTCATCAGAAGGTTGCTTATTTTTGGATCTAGTGATCTGAGAGTCCTTCTAGCTCTAAAATTCTGTAATTTCTTTCGAGATCCAATATCCAAAGAAAATTCGTGGTCATAGTGCACAATTCTCTTAAATCTAAGGAATCAACGACAGGCATAGAAACTGATCATCTTCTATAGGAGTTGGAGTCTAGCAAATGAAATGTTCAGAGACTTTTATGTTGAGCAGAATTTACATGTGCGAATACATATTTGGTGTGCAAACCTACCTGTAAAAATAAGGAAGAGAGGAAGCTCTATGGATGTTTAACATTTGTGGATTTTAGAACAACAGATTTCATTTTTTAAAATAGCTTCATTGAGATATAATTCACATAATATGTAATTCACCCATTTGAAGTGTAGAATTCCATGGTTTTTGGTATATTACACCATTAATTTTAAGTTGTGGTTAAAATATATACCAAAATTTGTCATTTTAACCATTTTTTTGTGTGTGTGTGAGGAAGACCAGCCCTGAGCTAACATCTGTGCTAATCCTCCTCTTTTTGCTGAGGAAGACCGGCTCTGAGCTAACCTCTATTGCCAATCCTCCTCCTTTTTTTTTTTCCCCCAAAGCAACAGTAGATAGTTGTATGTCATAGTTGCACATCCTTCTAGTTGCTGGATGTGGGACACTGCCTCAACATGGCCAGAGAAGCA